GCCCAGCTGGCTCTCCTATTTATTTTATCCGTTATTTATTGATTATTAAAATTTTATTCGATTCTGTTTCTTATCTTTAATGCTCATCAATGCATCTCTCTACGAGAGGAAGTGTAGAGAGGGAAGGAGAGGGAGAAAGGGAGGGAGGGAGGAAGAGAGGGATGGGTAGGAGACAGAGAGAGAGAGAGAGAGAGAGAGAGAGAGAGAGAGAGAGAGAGACTCAATGTGAAAGAGAAACATTGATTTGGTTTCCCTCCTGTATACCCCTGACAGTGAATTGAACCCCAACCTAGGTAAGTGCCCTGAACGGGAATCAAACCTTCAACCTTTTGATGTACAAGATGATGCTCCAATCAACTGTGCCACCCAGCCAGGGCTATTTATTGACGAGAGAGAGAGAGAGAGAGAGAGAGAGAGAGAGAGAGAGAGAGAGAAACATAGACCTGTTGTTCCACTTATTTATGCATTCATTGGTTGCTTCTTGTATGTACCCTGACCAGAGATCAAACCCCGCAACTTTGGTGTAACCAGACACCGCTCTAACCAACTGAGCTACCTGGCCAGAACTTGTAACTTTCTAAATAAACTTTTTCTTACAATTTGAAAATAAATAAATGAATAATAAAATGCACTGATAGAGCTGAATTCCAGAACTGGACAATGGTGATAACACCAAGGTGGTGGGTGTGCCAGGCGGCAAAGGCACAAAATAAGGGCATCTTGTGAGATTCTCCCTGGTCAGTCTCTCAAATACAATATTAACTCTGAACTAGTGATTCCTAAATATAGGAACTGGACCCATCAAAGCAAATCCACGCAGGGAACTTTAAAAAACTCCACACAGATTCTTAATTCCTAACCTTGGTTATTCTGACTTAGTACATGAGGAGGAGCTTGAGAATCTCTTAAACATTCCCAATGAGGCCGCAGAAACACTGTTTATACCTCCCACAATAAGACTTATAATCAGACATTCCCACTGATTTCTCTGCATTCTTTTCTGAGGTAGTATATAGCAGGCTTTGCTATTAAAAAGTAAGAAAAACACGTTTAAAAACTGAAACATCACGACTGCCATGGACCACTTACTTGGAAGTGTTTAAAGATTAATTCAGGATTGAAGTACAGCTGAAAAGGTGTGATCAATTCCAACTGCTGAAATAGAGAAAGAGCTCCTTAAGCAAATCAAATCAAGAAGTAAAATTTCATCATCTACGATGAAGGAAGGATTAGTAGGGCTGGCAATTTCCAACTCTCAGTCACTTAGACTGAATCCTTTAAAGCCGCCGGGAGGGGCTGGTAAAGAATTCTCTACAACTGGTACAATTCTGTGTGTCCTCAATACCCAACACAGAATGAAAGTCTGTTCTAAATTGCAGTAGTTGAGGCTGGCCTGTAGGCATGGGAGGCAGGTGGTGATACACATCTTAGATATGGGGCAAGTAATGAGCGGCTGCTCCGAATCTGCTCTACAGTTGGGTGAAGCAACACATCTCCCTCAAAAGAAATGAGACTCGCCCGGCCCGGCCAGCATGGCTCAGTGGTTGAGCATCGACCTACGAACCAGGAGGTCACAGTTGGATTCCCAGTCCGGCCACATGCCCGGGTTGCCGGCTTGATGCCCAGTGGGGGGCGTGCATGAGGCAGCCCCGCAACGATTCTCTCTCATCATTGATGTTTCTATCTCTCTCTCCCTCTCCCTTCCTCTCTAAAATCAATAAAAATATATATTTTTAAAGAGAAACAATACTCATGACCCTGCTTCCAGCCAACCTCTGTATTCACACTGTTTATTTCAAGCCTCTTGCCTCTGGACAACTACCAGCTTTCTATCCTCCATATCTAAGTTTCTTCATAGGCGGACTTTCCCCCACTAGTCACCGCGGTACCACTTGGCCATTGGTGCCACTTGGCCATCGCCCGGGTCCCCAGACACGTTTTCTGGGTGGGCGGCTCCAGCCGCGCCGCCCTGACTTGCGACAGGTCCGACCTTCATGGCTCAGAAACTGACCCGCATTCCTGATCCTCCAGCCCTCCCGCAGCGGCACTCCCTTCCCGCGTCCCCGGCTAATCAGTCTGAAAGCAATTCCGACGCCCAGAGTGCGCCCTGTCCACCGCCACCCACCCTGAGACCCAACCATCTGGGCTTCCCGGAGGCCCAAGCCCAACTCCCCGGGACCCGATTATTCCCAGCCCGGATCATGAGAAGCCGGCGCTGCATCTGCTCACCACTGCGGCGGTGGTGAGGACGCAGGCGGTGGTGTAGGCGCGGCTGACCGGTGGGATCTGTAGGTACTCCAGCCGGAGGCTCTGGTACGCCATCTTCCCCACCGCCGCCGGCCCCCGCCCCACTTCCCCTTCCGCCAGTCAGCCCAGCGGCGGGGCGGGGCCCAAGAGGGCTCCGGTTACCCTGCCCGCTGCCGTCCAATCGGCGCCGCGCAGCCTGCCAACCACCAATCGCAGGAGCCCTAAGGAAAGCCATTCGCCAATCAGGAGTTGCGTCTCGGCGGCGACCCAGCCTGGCTTCCTCACCCGCCCACGTCGCTGAGAGGAGAGTCAGTGCAGTTTCCTTCCGCCAATCCCCGCGGGCCACAGCTAGCTGGCCCGCCCGGCCCCTGTCTGTCACCGACCGAGCAGCCAGCCAATCAGGAGCGCGACATCATCCCGCCTTGGCTCTCGTTCGCTGAGGCGGGCATCGTTCGGTGTTTTGAGCCGCCGCGCCACCGATCTCCGGCAGCGAGAGGTGGTTGAAAAGAGGTGGCGGGAAACCACTGTTTGGTCGAAATTGCCTCCCTCACGGTCGCTTCGGTAAGTGCCGCGGGGCTGCATTTTCTCACAGGAAGGGAGGGGAGGAGTGGAACTGGGTAAGGCATCCCCGCGGGGCTCTGCAGCCGCCTGGCCGGCGGGGCCTCCGACCTGAAGGTCCCGGCATGCAGCGGGGTCGCGGGGCCCGACGGGAGCCGGGAAGGAGTTCCTGCTGGGCTGTTATCTACAACTCTGTCAGCTCAGTTTGTTAAGGTATTCCGGGCACCTCGTGTGTTTACTCTGCAAATACTGATTAAGCCGTCTTTGTCCTGCCCTGAGGACGTCTAGGGCCAGCAGGGAAGCTGGGACGGGCCCGTGATAACATCCTGAAGCGGAACTCGGTCGGTGCCTGAAGAAAGGCCCCGTTGGTGTTCAGGGGAGGGGGTGCGCCACCAAGGAAGTATTTAAACTGACCCCTGAAGGAGGTTTGGCCATGGCATCTTACCTTGAAGAGAAGACGTCACAGGGGAAAAAGTAGTTCGGTTTGGTTGGGAAGAGTAGTCAGATCTTGCCAAACGAATAAGGAAGCGCTCAAAGTTTAGGAATAGGGAGTGTCCATCAAATCTGGTAGTATGTAAGGAAGGAACCAAACCAAAGGGTGAAGAGAGTGGTTTTTACAAAGGATATGAACGGGTGTTCACGGGAGGGGAACCCAAAAAGCTAACATGTAGGAAGCAGTACCCAATTTACTGGTAATCAGAGAAATGCGCTAAAAATATTTTTGCCTGCTCCTCAAATACCACCCTCACACCCTGTTGATGAGAGAATGCTTCATGTACCGCTTACCCTGGTAAGGAAGAACAACGGGCCTTGAAAGAGCTTTGGCCGTGTCTCCTAGGGAAGTAAGGCAAGATGGGAATGTTTTGAGAACTGCAAGTTCGGTTAAGATGGACCTTTCAATTTGGGGGCTTGATTAGGATTGGGTAGAGACCCTGACACGACAGTACAGGATTGGCAGAAACAGCCGAGGCAGGGGTTTCAGAGAACCTTAGGTTCTGCTTGTTGATGCTTCCCATTGAAGAGCTGATCCACCTTTGGGGCAGTTCAAGCCATTAGAACAATGAAAATAGACTGGTTTCCTAGAATAGGAAAGTCACACTAATGTAAACAGTAAATTGCTTGTTGGGGTGGGAGTGTAGGTAGTTTCAGTCCTCAGTATCCAACTCGTGTGTGGGGCTAGATGGTTTTGGTTCTCAAAATACAACAATAAAACAATTGTATGTCTACCAGATTGGTAAAAATTAGAATGGTGTTGGCAAAGATGTGAGAAATTCTCACATACTGTAAGTGAGAGTGTAATTCAGGGTAGGATATCCCCACCCCACCCCCAGCAATGCTCTGGAGAATATTTTGGCAGTATTTAGTGAAATTATGAGAAAATTCTGTGGCCAGCAATTACTTGCCTGTATAAATACCCTCAAAGTCCCTAAGGAGAAATCATAGAAGGGTGTTTATTACAATATCATTTCTGGTAGTAAGGTGCTGAAAGCAAACTAGGTGTTTGTCACAAGGAGAATGGACATTAAGTGTGGTATGTGCATATGATAAAATTGTTGGTATACTTCAGCCAGAACCAATGAAGTAAATTGAAGTATAATAACGAAGTGATTGTAAACAAAGGAAAATGTAAACATACATATGCAAAACTGTATTTTTCAAGAATATATATATCTAAAACCTAGTTGAATTAACATTAAAGATGAATTGAAAAAAGCATATTTAGAAACAGAGGGGGGTTGGGGAGGGATTGAGAAAAAAGTAAAGTAGAACTCATGGACATGGATAACAGTGTGGTGATTGCTGGGAGAGGGGAGGAGGTGGAAGAGGGCATAGAGGGATAAATGGTGATGAAAGCAAAACAAACATTAGAGTAGGTTCCTAAGGGAGATGAAAGGTAGAAGACTAAAATGAGTTAGAGAAGACCTGCCTGAAGTAAAAATAGAGTGAGTGAAATAGGAAGTATTATCTATCACAGAGGTCCTCAAACTACAGCCCGCGGGCCACATGCGGCCCGCAGAAAACATTTATCCGGCCAGCCTTGTGTTTTTGCCGCCGCTGCCTGTCCTGCTTAGCAGCTGACTCGTCCCGGGCCAGCAGTGCGCATGTGTGGAATGTCTGAGGGACAGTGAACTGGCCCCCTGTTTAAAAAGTTTGAGGACCCCAGATCAGCTCGATTGTGAACACATGAAGTTTTAAAACGGACAGAATGTGGTTAGTAAGGGTTGAGTGATGAAGGCCCTTGCAAGCCATGTTGAAAGAGTTTTGGACTTGATCCTGAAGTGTAGGGCAGTGTTGAGGAAATAAAAACCCTGCCAACCCAGAGACTCCAATCCACAACACATAGAAAAGAAGGTAGTTTTATTAATGAATAGTCATATTCAGATTACAATGCACTGTGGATAATTTGGGTGAGATTACAAAGACAGAAAGAAATTCTACCTTATTTATGCAGCCAAGCAATTACAGTGAAGTATGGTAGTAACCATCTCAGGTAGAAATTATAGTTTAACTTTAACCCTGCTGTTTGGCTTATGTACCTATTTGCTTTGTTTAACAATGGACAGGTTATTTTGATTTTCTGAATTATATAAATCATCCCATTCGATTAAATGCCTTATTGACTGTAATGTGAATATCCCATGGGTTGTGGTCATACTGGTCTTAGAAAGCACATTTTCCTTTACCTGGGAAGGACAGCACAGTTATCCCAAGGTCAGAGGGCTCTAGACCCAAAACTGTAATTTAGATAACATGCTGTTTCTGCTTCTGTAAACTGCTTTTTTGCAAACTAGGTTCCTCATTCCAAACCCTGGGATGTAATCAATACCTTTGTGATTTTTTTTGCCTATATAACCTTGGAGCTGCGACCATCTTGTAACTATGAAATTTGGGGAATGGCCCCTCATAGTCCCGTATTGCAATAAATGTGACTCTTTAATTTGACTTCTTGAGGCGTCCTTCTGTGATTTGTGGGGTACATTACAACAACAGCCATTCTATTTTAGTCATTGCATATATAAATTCTCAAAATTAATGGCATCATGTCTTCTTATAATAAGATTTGTACCATTTGCTTCAAATCCTATATAATAAAAGGCTAATATGCAAATTGTCCCCTCTACCAGGAGTTCGACTAGGGGGCGGGGGCGGCCAGCCAACTGTCCTCGGCCCCTCCCCCTGGCAAGCCCTGCCCACGACTCCCCCCCCCCACCCACCCATCGGGGGCAGGCCTGCCAGCCAACCTCCCACATCCCCTCCCCGGCTGTGCACGAATTCGTGCACTGGGCCTCTAGTTCTTTCATAAAGTTCATCCATCCTAAATTCATCTGGTAATTGAGGTATCCATTTATTTTGCTAATTGTCTTTATCTGAAGGAATAATGAAACTTCTCTTATTTCTACAACAAGCATCTGATTATAGCTCAGAAAAAAAGTGCCTAGTGTCACTCCCACAGTGACAAGGAGATAGGAGAGCTATTTTCCGAGATGTTTGCATTGTAAAGACTTCTAGACCCTTGAAAAAACACGTTGAGGTTGTAAAGCTGACAATGCACTTGTTCAGCTACTAACTGGGATTTTTTTTCCCCTGTTTACTAGGTTGGAAGGACAGAGAGTTGAGGACATTGGCAAGGGAGTGGTTAAAGTGATGGATGGTGGAGCCTAAAATGGATAAGGAAAGAAGTGAAGTGGGATAGACTGAGTGCAAGAAAGAGAGGATCAGAGGGTTGAAAGTCTTGATGATTAAGGTGTAGTATGAGTATGTGCATGAGAGTTGGAAGAATAGCATAAGAAGTTGTCAAAAAAAAGGGGGGGCATTTGGGGAGAGAATTTGCAAATATCAAGAGCCAGATGGCCAAAAGAGTGAAGTCATTGAATCTCATGAAACTGTGTCTCTAGGGCTGGTTAGGTTATTTGTCTAAATTTGAATGTTTTCTAGGATGATAACAGATTTCAGAAGACTGAACCACAGGCCAGAGTCCTCAATAAATGAGAGGTAAGGAAAATGAGAGGTTATAGACGGATGGAAACAGCCTCAGAGAGGCAAGGGTTGGCATCCTGTTGTGGATGAGTGAGGCTGGAATTGGCATTGGGTATCAAACTTTTCTATCTATAATGTGATTTATTACTTTCTTCAGATGATGTAATCCAATGATATTTCCTTTACATTTGCAGATTTTTCACAATCAAAATTAACAGCAAAATAAGTCAAGATGTCTGTCGATCCAATGACCTATGAGGCCCAGTTCTTTGGCTTCACACCACAAACTTGCATGCTCAGGATCTACATTGCATTTCAAGACTACCTATTTGAAGTGATGCAGGCTGTTGAACAGGTTATTCTGAAGAAGCTGGAGGGCATCCCAAACTGTGAGATTAGCCCAGTCCAGGTTCGTAAGTGCACAGAGAAGTTTCTTTGCTTCATGAAAGGACGTTTTGATAAGCTTTTTGTCAAAATGGAGCAGCTGTTTTTACAGTGGATTTTGCGTATTCCCCCAAACATCTTGCTTCCGGAAGATAAATCTCAGGAGATGCATTCTTATAGTGAGGAAGAATTCCAGGTTCTCCAAAAAGAAATTGAACAGTTACAGGAGAAGTACAAGACTGAATTATGCACTAAGCAGGCCCTTCTTGCAGAGTTAGAAGAGCAAAAAACTGTTCAGGCCAAACTTAAACAGACATTGGCTTTGTTTGATGAGCTTGAAAATGTTGGCAGAAATCATGGGACTAGTGATTTCAGGGACAGCTTGGTGTTCCTGGCCCAGAACTCCAGAAAACTCCAGGATATTAGAGACAATGTGGAGAAGGAAAGCAAAAGACTGAAAATATCTTAATTTCTAAATAGTAAAAGGAGCCAGTCAAAAGTAGGTCTGTATATTTTGTTGGCTTTTCCTTTTGTTTGGTCCACTCCCCTGAAGTATCTGTGTACTACTCGAAACTGATCTTTGAAGCATTTATTCCTTATAGGCCTCTAATAGGTGGGAAGGGATTCTTAATCCATTAAAGACTCATTTAGGGCTTGATGAAGAAATAAAGCTTTCCATGGCCAGTCAAAAGATATTTGTAAAAGGTGTACTTTGGTCATGAGTCCTTTGTAACCTTGATCCTTTTTACTTATTCTTTAGATGAGACCAAATGACAAAAAGGTTGAGTGGGTGGCTTCTTTTTTTAAATATATTTTTATTGATTTCAGAGAGAAAGGGAGAGAGAGAGAGAGAGAGATAGAAACATGCCTCCTGCATGCCCCCACTGGGGATGGAGCCCGAAACCTGTGCCTGTGCCCTGACTGGGAATTGACCTGTGACCTTCTGGTTCATAGGTCAACACTCAACCACTGAGCCACACCAGCCAAGGCAAGTGGGTGGCTTCTTTATTAATCAGCCACTACACTGTGGGACAGCCAACATAGAATATGTGCTCTTGCCCATAATTTTTCTTACACCAGGAAGTTGATATGTAGTTTAAAGAAGCAAGTAGCAGAAAAACAACCATAATCTTTAGTAAAGAAGAAAGAAATTTTTTTTTCTAAAATAAATCCTTTCCATGACCAAGGCCTTGATGGTGTTAAACAATTTACTGTCTTGGAGCCCAGCAGTGGACAAAAAAGAAGCAGATCTCACTGGAATAGAAAAGGAAGCCTGGAACATACCCAATAGCAAAGTTTATGTTAACTGACTATTTGGTATTTATGCCATTTTTTGTTTGTTTGTTAGTTAATCCTCACCCGAGGATACTTTTCCATTGATTTTTAGAGAGTGGAAATGAAGGGGAGAGACAGAAAGAAAGAAACATCTATGTGAGAGGGGACGCATCAATTGGTTGCCTCCACCAAGGCCAGGGATTGAGCCTACAACCTAGGTATGTGCCCTTGACTGGAATCGAACCTGGGACCTTTCAGTCCATGGGCCGATGCTCTATCCACTGAACCACACTAGCCAGGGCATATTTATGCCATTTTTAAATTCGTACTTCAGATAGTTTTGGAATTTTTCTTGTGTCTAATATTTAATTAACTTAGGTATTCACACTCATAAGTATCAAATATTTATTACCCTCAGTGGGAAATTTTAGCTGTGTCTTTTGCTTAAATTCAATGGAGTCTGATATATCCTTTTGTAATTAATCCATGTAACATGTTAGGTCTCCACCAAAAAAGGGAAGATTTGGCAATAGTTACTCTCAAGGTATTGCTTGTGTCTTCTTAAAGAAGAGGATTTGGAGTTTCTCCTTTATGTAGAAGAGTAACATAGGGTATTAATATTTGCAATTAAATATTTATAGATTTACAAAGTCTGTGTTTACTTGGAATATGTTTATTATCAAAGAGTTCTTTTCCCAATCCTATACATGAAATACAGATGTTTTTAAAGGCTTTGATTTTTCGATTTTCTGCTGTATATAATGTCATGCTATGTTTCCTTCTTCAATATTACTTTTTACCCAAATGAAAAAAAATTTTTCCCCGCATTTGTAGCTATTTAAAATCTCCTAGTATTGACTGCCTTGAATGGTGATTTCTCCAAATGGTTTGTCCACGTATGTTGTGATTCCTGGAACCTGTGACTGTCCTTATTTGGGAAAATGAGCTTTGCAGGTATAATTAAGTTAAGGATCCGGAGATGATCATCCTCAATTATCTGGGGAGGTGGGGTGGCTAAATCTAATGATAAGTATCTTTTATAAGAGAAAGGCAATGAAGGATTTGAGACAGAGATGGGAGCATTGTGACAAAGGCAGATTGGGGCGATGCAGCCACAAGTCCAGGAATGCCGACAGCCACCATAAGCTGGAAGAGGCAAAAGACAGATGCTCTCCCAGAACCTCCAGTGTGTGTGGCCCTGCTAACGCTTGCTTTGGGTTTCTGGCCTCCAGAACTGAGAATGCATTTCTGTTGTTTTAAGTCACTAAGTTTGTTATGGTAGCAACTGAAAACTAATGTACTTAGTGAAATTAGAATATTAAGAAATTCATAAGGATGTAGAGTGCTATTAGGGAAACAACGGCTGAGACCTGATTGGCCCTATTAATCAGGATAATAAACACTTGGTTACCCGCTCTGCTTCATTGCCCATCTCCCATCCAGCCTCAGTCTCAACCAATTTCCTGCTTCCTTCTACATTGGATCCTATGATTTTGCAATATCAAACCTTCAGTTTCCCTAAATGCCTGCTTCCAAGCTTTCCCTTGTATTTATCTGTTTATTCTCCCTTAAAATATGCCTGTTCCCAACTATACACTCCCAAATAGACTTTCCCCATACAGTTGCTGCAGTGACAGGACCAGTTTGGGAGACAGTTTGGCATGGTATTAATGGAAAGAGAGTGGCCATTACTACCAACCTTAAAGAAATAAAAAAGAATTATAAGGAAATACTATGCAAGAGGTTCTGCACTCAATTCTGATGAGGGTTTTCCCCACACCTCCAAGCAATTGTATTGGGTGCCACCTGGATATCCTATAATTCAACTCAATCTGACACTATCTACCCAGAGATAGCATCAGATTACACAGGTGAAGGGCTCAGCCCTACAAAGACTGCCCTTCAAATGCCAATGACGAGCCTAGGTTGTTACCTGGGCTGACTGACTGGCTATAACTCAGAGGTTCCAATGACCCCCTCCTTGGATTTAATTACCTTGCTAGAATGGCTCACAAACTCAGGAAACATTTATTCACTAGATTATTACTTTATTACAAAGGATATATGATCCAGGGCCAGGTGAAAGATACACAGGGTGAGGTTTCAAAGGAGCGATTATCCCCATGGAGTTTGGGCGTCCATGGTGGGGTTCTGGGTACCCAACCTAGAAGCTTTCCAAACTTTCCTTTTGGGTTTTTATGGAGGCTTCATTACATAAATCATTGGTCTGCTGGTGATAAAAATATAAACTATGACAAGATAAAGTACATTTAAGTTTATTCAGATGCTTTCATTTAATATTCAAGTGTGGAAAAGTAGCCAGCCACATGGGCGAGTACTGGCTTGAAATAGCTGGTCAGCAAGACTGTTCCTTTAGAGCAGGGTTGGGGTACCTTTTTTCTGCCAAGGGCCATTTTGATATTTATAACATTCGTAGGTCATATAAAATTATTAGCCTGCTATATTTGGTCAAACATTTCATTAACTCACCCCTAATGCCTTGGCGGGGCCAGACCAAATTATTTTGAAGGCGGTATAAGAGCTGGACATTCACCCCCCCCCCCCCCAACTATAGATAAATCACATTTTGTTTTTCCATTTGCCATTTGATGAACATTTAAATTGTTTTAAATTTGGGGCTATTGCGAATAATCCTGCTATGGACTTTCATTAACAAGTCTCAGTGTGGACATATGTTTTTACTTCTGTTGGGTGGAAACCTGGGAATGGGATTCCTGGGTCATATGGTCGGTGTACATTTAACTTTTTTTTTTTTAATTAAATCTTTATTGTTCAGATTACATTTGTTCCTCTTTCCCCCCCCCCATAACTCCCCTCCTCCCAGTTCCCGCCCCACCCTCCACCCTTACTCCCCACCCACTATCCTCATCCATAGGTGCACGATTTTTGTCCAGTCTCTTCCCGCATCTCCCACTCCCCTTTCCCCCCCAAGAATAGTCAGTCCCTTCCCTTTCTATGTCCCTGATTCATTATAATCACCAGTTCATTCTGTACATCAGATTATTTATTCACTTGATTCTTAGATTCACTTGTTGATAGATGCATGTTTGTTGTTCATAATTTGTATCTTTACCTTTTTCTTCTTCCTCTTCTTAAAGGATACCTTTCAGCATTTCGTATAATACTGGTTTAGTGGTGATGAACTCCTTTAGCTTTTCCTTATCTGTGAAGCTCTTTATCTGACCTTCAATTCTGAATGATAGCTTTGCTGGATAAAGTAATCTTGGTTGTAGGTTCTTGGCATTCATCACTTTGAATATTTCTTGCCATTCCCTTCTGGCCTGCAACGTTTCTGTTGAGAAATCAGCTGACAGTCGTATGGGTACTCCCTTGTAGGTAATTGACTTTCTTTCTCTTGCTGCTTTTAAGAGTCTCTCTTTGTCTTTTGCTCTTGGCATTTTAATTATGATGTGTCTTGGTGTGGTCCTCTTTGGATTCCTTTTGTTTGGGGTTCTCTGCGCTTCCTGGAATTGTAAGTCCATTTCTTTCACCAGGTGGGGGAAGTTTTCTGTCATTATTTCTTCAAATAGGTTTTCAATATCTTGCTGTCTCTCATCTTCTGGCACCCCTATAATTCTGATATTAGTGCGCTTGAAGCTGTCCCAGAGGCTCCTAACACTATCTTCGTATTTTCGGATTCTTTTTTCATTTTGCTTTTCCGGTTGGGTGTTTTTTGCTTCTTCGCATTTCAAATCTTTGACTTGATTCTTGCGATCCTCTGGTCTGCTGTTGGGTGTCTGTATAATATTCTTTATTTCAGTCAGTGAATGCTTAATTTCTAGTTGGTTCTTTATCACAACATCGAGGGTCTTATTAGTTTTCTTGAGGCTCTCATCAAGTTTATCGGCAGCTTCTAGCACATTATTGAAAACCCTCAAAATTGCATTTTTTAGCTCTATATCCTCCATTTCTGTCATGTTTTTTTGACTCCGCATTTTTTATGCTTTCTTGGTGCACCCCCTAGTGGTCTTTGTTCGCAGTCTTGTTCTAGTTAAGCCTTGATTGTTGTAGTTAATACTAGAGAGATTTGACCACCAGGCGGACTGGCTGTGAGAATCAGCTGTGTCTGCCGTGGGAAAACTTCTGTCCTCTGGAGAGGTGCTAATCTAGCCTTTGCCTGAGGCTATCCGGCAAATGGCTCTGCGCAGGGCTTGGGCGGGGCAGGTCCCAGGGGATCAACAGGGCGGGTGGAGGGAGCAGTTACGGCTGCTCTCAGTCTTGTTCCCAGAGGCTCTGCTTCTCATAACCCCAGCAACCGCTGCAAACCTCGGAGAGAAAGCTGCCCTCACGTTCCGACTGATGCCGCTTCTCCCGTTTGAGTCTGAGTCCCTAGAGACTCGCCCGGATCTGGAGCTCAGAGTTTGAGACTCCCTCCTGATTGAAAACGACAACCGGGCCCTCAGCCACCAGCCCGCTCTGCGCGCGCACCTCCGCACCTTTGTATTTTCCACACTGTGCCTCCTCTGAGCCTCGGTATGCTGTTCTCTCTCCTTCTAGTTGAAGAATCTCTCCTCAGCCAGCTTTCCTGTGGTTCTGGGTGATGTCTGTTCCGCTTTTAGTTGTATTTTTGAAGTGGTTGTTTGCGGCAGCAATCTCCGGTGTTTACCTATGCCGCCATCTTGGTTCCTCCCCTACATTTAACTTTTTATACACTGCCAAACTGTTTCCCAAAGTAGCTGCACCATTTTACATTCCCAAAAACAGTGTATGAGGGTTCTATATTTTTTAAAAAACGTTTTATTAACTTTTTTTTTTTTTTAGAGAGGAAGGGAGAGGGATAGATAGAAACATCAATGAGAGACATTGATGGGCTGCCTCCTACACGCCCTCTGGGCATGTGCCCTGACCAGAATTGAACTGGGGATCTATTGGTTCAAGGGTCGATGCTCAACCACTAAGCCACACCAGCTGGGCAAGGGTTACAGATTTTGTACCTCTTTGCCAACTAGAAACTCTTAGAGCTGGAGTTGCTAAGCTGTGAGAATGTGAGCTTGCTGATACTGTCATCAGAGAATTGCACGGGTGGAATTTCTCCATTGCTAATGGAAGTGGGGTTCTTAAGACATCTTGAGAAAAAGAGTTTTCTAAGACTCACATGAAAGAATGAGTGATTTTTATTTGTGTACAGTTCTATCCCTTGGTTTGCAAAGTCCTATTTCCCCTAAACCAGTCCTGGGAAATGTGCAGTTGGGGCTTCTTCAGTAGAACTAGAAGCAAAGCCAGTGTCCAAAATTTTTGTTCCATGGTGGAGTGGAATCCGGCACAGCATCCAGCTAATTCCAGTCCATCAGTCCATTGTGTGTGGGGTTCACATGGCTGTGGGCCATGTGGGCAAATGCAGGGGAGCATGTCCCACATCCTCCTGCAACAAGAGAGCCAGGAGCCCAGCATATGAGAGCCGAGAGAGAGAGAAAGCTTCTTTGTTCAGGAGTTAATGTATCTGAGATTTCACCCCCTTGTAGTGACCATACCCTTTCTGGCCAATACCCAGTTCCCAGGTGTGACTGACAGGTAATCTCTTTCCCACATCACCCCACCTCACTGGGCATGCGTCTATTGTCCAGTCCCTTTCTGCCATCGACCTGCAGTGAACAGACCTGGAGAATGTTAACGGCAGCTTTCTGGCACTAATGCCATGCCTATATTATTTGGCCTTCCCTTTACTACTCTCCTGTTAATGAATAACCAAGTTATTACAACAGTATCAATAC